CACCCTACCCAGCCTACCCAGCCCCAGTCACCTCCCACACCTATCTAATTTGGAACCCTCTCCCCAATCATGACAAGTCCCGAATCCACCCCTATTCCCTCACCCCTCCCTCACCCATCCGACACCCGATGACCACTCGTGCACGAAGTGGCATTTTCAAACCTAAGCTCTACTCTACCTCCTTCACCTCTTCCCCACCTACTACCGAGCCGGTTACCTACAAAGAAGCCTCCCAAAACAGTTATTGGTGCCAGGCTATGGATGACGAATATAAAGCTCTGCTTGATCAACACACATGGGAGCTTGTTCCGAAACCTCCAGACCGGTTTCCTATTGGATGTAAGTGGATTTATAAAATTAAGCATAATGCTGATGGTTCTGTTTCCAGGTACAAGGCCCGTCTTGTGGCCAAAGGTTATACACAGGAATATGGTTTGGACTACTCTGAGATCTTTAGCCCTGTGGTCAAACAACAGACTATTCGAGTGGTTCTCTCGCTAGCCGTCAGTCAGAACTGGCCCCTTCACCAATTGGATGTCTCCAATGCCTTTCTTCATGGTGTCTTTCCGGATGAAATCTATATGAAGCAGCCTCCAGGGTATATCGATCAGCAGTATCCTCATTATGTGTGCAAACTGAGGAAATCTCTTTATGGGTTGAAGCAGGCGCCACGGGCTTGGTACCAACGTCTGTCTGGGTTCCTTGTTGACTATGGCTTTGGCAAAAATGAACATGACACAAGCTTCTTTGTCAAGCACTCTCCCTCTGGCATCCTCATTGTTCTACTCTATGTTGATGATATTATTGTCGCTGGGAGTGCCTCTTCTCTTATTTCCTCATTTATTCAAGCCATGCAAACGGAATTTCAGATGAAGAATCTTGGTCCTCTCCATTATTTTCTTGGGCTCGAGGTGACACGCAAACAAGGCCAGCTGATTCTATCCCAAGAAAAATATGCTCATGAACTCCTCCATAAGGCGGGAGTCGAGGACTGCAAACCGGCACCCACACCCCTACCCGTACGGTAGTCCGAGGAAGGGGGAAGCCGCCCATTTAAGAATCCCACTTTCTTCCGTAGCTTGGTTGGCTCTCTTCAATATTTGACAAATACGCGCCCGGATATTCAATTTGCTGTCAACTATGTTTGTCAAAGGATGCATGCACCTACTGAGCAGGATTTTCAATCTTTGAAACGCATCCTCCGCTATGTCAAGGGGACCATTGACCGTGGTTTAATATTTCGGCGTGGCTCACAAACCATCCACGCATACTCTAATTCGGACTGGGCCAATGATATGACAGATGGACGGTCTGTTACAGGTTATTTGATATATCTTGGGCCTAATTTAATCTCTTGGAGTACGGAAAAATAGAGTCGTGTCTCTCGCTCATCCACCGAGGCCGAGTACAGGGCTCTCTCGGCCGCAGCAGCTGAGGTAATATGGATCACCTATTTGTTTGACATTTTGCAGATTAAGCTACCTCCTCCGCACCCACTCTGCGATTACCAGTCCACGATCTGCCTAACCAAGAATCCAGTGTTCCATAAACGCATGAAGCATGTCGGCACCGACTGTCACTTTGTACGCGAACAGGTAATTGCCGAAAAAATGACAGTCTCCTATGTTCCTTCCAATGAGCAGTTAGCGGATCTTCTCACAAAGGCTCTTTCTTCACCGCGCTACTCCGCACTGGTTGCCAAGCTTCCTCTCGTTTCACGACGTTCAGCTTGAGGGGGGATGTTAGACATATATGGCAAGAAGTGTAGTTATGGTAGAAGTGTTATTTATGTTAGTTTACATATTTGGTGAATCCTAATTCATGTAGGGATCCTCACCTATATAAACACCCATGTATACAATTATTCAGTTGAGTTGGATTACTAAATCAACATCTTCCCTTGAGTGGGACTAATTTGGTCCCAGTCGGGGTACACTTTATGGTCCAACTTTCTTCGAATTAAAATCTGATTGTACCGTTGCGGTCAAACAATCAAATTCTACTCAACGGTATAATTTTCAAAACTAATTAACAAACTTTATAAATCCCCTATTTTTGGATCCTTCTTAGTAATTAATTAATTATTAATTCTGATAGACCTATTTTCAGAGTGTTACACCCGAGACCCATTCATTCCATCTTCCCTTTGGAGAGGTGGAAATTACTTTGCAAGATGTAGATGTTTTGCTTGGAGTGAAGATGTACTATCCAGATCGATTTTGTAGGAAATTTGGTGCCCTCCAACACGTCCCTCAAGATGTTGTCTATGATCAACATCTGCACCACATTAAGTTAAATATTATGCTGATTGGTGATGGTTAGAGAGAGTGTTTAATAGAGGTATGGGAGGGACGTTATGCTGCTACTGTGTCTATGGATTTTGGGATGGTGGATGCCACACCCGAGTATCGTCAGTGCTATTACCTTCGAGGTCGACGATAGATAGAAAACCCTGCACATCAGCATGGACCAGGATACATCCCCATTTCTTCCGAGCTACAGACCACAGCAATAAGTATTCATAAAATACATAATTTTAAATCATAAATTTTTTTAGACTAATAAATAATATTGTATGTAGTTATATTATATGGCGGATTGCCATCAGCGCCTTGATCCAAGTATGCAATCAGATGGATTTGTACCTTTGCGAGAAGTTTTGAGAGTTCATGAGTTGTTAGGAGAGTGTGTTCGTGCTCTTGGACATGCATCTATCTTTGATCACCCACATGAGCACACAGTTTATAATCCAGGACATATTAGGAGACGGGCAAATAGGAGACGCAATGCACCTGCTATCGGGGTTAAACGTGGTGGGCGGGGTCATCGGAGGTTACAGGTCGATGATGAAGATGTAAACATCTCCATTCAATCTCCCCTATGACCCAGGATGATGATGTCAATGATGAAGAACATATTGAGAGTGACACTCACAAACCTTCTTGCATGGGTGAGCTGTCTAGTTCACATCTTCCTCGATTCGGGATAGAGCATCGTCTAAAGCGCGTGTACAATGCATCACCAGTCACGTTTGATGGAGATGTGTTTAGAAATGAATTTTTTACTCAAGAAAGTCAGCTCACGAATGAGGTTGGACAATTTGTCTCCAGCACTACACCGCCGGCACGAATGAGTTTAATATATATTTGTATATTTATGCTAACTTTATACTGTAATCAATTCTTTTTGCAAATTTAGATTTTTTTTGTGTATGAAAAATGACAATAATTTTTTTTTATCTTAAAGTTGTTTTGTGTATGAAAAATCCTACTTAAAGTTTTTTTTAGATTTTCTAGTTTTTCTAGTTTCATCTAATTTCTTCCATTTCCTTCCAATTGTTTTTACTTTTTCAAGTTTCTTTCAGTTTTTCCAGTTTATTCCAACATTCAGCTCTTTTTTTCCATCCCTAAAGAAGATGTCCTAAAGTGTGTTTTACAGTAATGGTCATAAAATTCTATTTTGGAGGTTTTATCTTTTAACTCTGAAACTATTTTGGGATTTAATCCATGTTTTTACTTCTATCTTGGTCCTTAAGCATTTATATATTGCCAAATGATTATATACTTCTTCTCGCTCAAAATGTTTACACTTTACGTAAACCAAAACAAAAATCCAAATTTAGATTTACATTTATTTTATTTAAAGGTTAGTATAGAAATTAAAATAGTAAATAAATTCCATAAATGGTCTCCAATTATGTACAGTTTTCCATATTTAGTTCCGAATTATAAGATATTCATAAATAGTCCCTAAATTTTTGAAAACCATTTTACAAATAGTCCTTTTCAGCAGATATGACAAAATATTTTGAGTGAATAATTCTCAAAATTACTAACTTGACACTTTTTAATTGAGATGTGTTTGCTAAATACTCCTTTATAATTGAGATGTGTTTCCTAAATACTTTTTATAACTGAGATGTGTTTCCCAGTTAATTTTAAAAAAATCATTTTGAAGACTTATTCATAGCTTAGATAAAAAAAAGAGGATCAAAATACCCTATTAACGAAACACATCTCAATTATAAAGAACTGCGTTAGTAATTTTTGGAAAAAACCTTATTAGAAAGAATCATTTTGATAATTTACTTAAAATATAGAGTCATATTTGGTTAAAAGGACTATGCGTGGAATAATTTTCAAAAATTGAGAACTGTTTATGAAATATCTTATAATTGGGGCTAGATATGAAAAACTACATAAAATCGGGGACCATTTATAGAATTTACTCAAATTAAAAATAAAACATAAATATTTAGAACAAAATGTTAAAAGTTCTATAAAATATGAGATAATCAGAATATTTTATTTAATCAAATAACCAATTAAGCAAAATGCACGCAATAAGAGTAAATTTTCATGATTTTTAAATAATGAAGATCAAAGTAGTAGGGAGTAATTCTTGACGGAGGGAGTACATGTGATGAGAGAATCGTAAACAACTCGTAGATAAACGATATACCGTACATAGTAATTCAGTAAGTAATTAATCCGGAGTACATACATGCATAACAATATATAAACGTATAATGGTATCAGACAAATAAACGAAGCAATAATTAAAACACGTACGAGTAGTATATCGTGCAAATTTCACATTGATAACCTAATAAATGTAATTTTGAACTCTAAAATTAATCCATCATTATTATTGTTTGAACTTCATCATTATTAATACTTCACTTATTATAAGCAGCAGAAGCACAAGCGCTCACACACCTTTCCCAAAACCTCACACATAGAGGCGCAGGCGTTCGTGCAGCTGCACAATTTATTATGATAATAATTAAAAAATAATTTTGGAATGATAAAAAAGAATACTAAAATCTTTTTTTCTTCACAAATTATAATATACCAATTTCGTGTCCCCCCCTTTGGCATGATGCTTCCCTGGAACTTCTGGTACTTCTCTATCTCCACTGAAGAACCGGTAGTCGGATAGTAACCTTGTTAGACAATAATAATAATAATAATAATAATAATAATAATCAGTTATGGTAGTGTTTGATTATTAGTCAGTTTTCTATTCCTATCTATAGTAGATGTTGTATTTTAGTTAGTTTCAACTCTATATTTCTAGTTGTGTTAGGAGTCTCATATATATATATATATATATATATATACAAAACCATGTACTTCATAATTCAATGTGCAATATTATTATTCCAATATTTAAACAAACCTTCGAGTTTTATTTCAATTCCAAGAAAGAAAAAACTTCAAAAAATGTCACAAACCAATTAAGAGTTAAATAAATAGAGAAGGAAATGTGCTTTAATTTGTGAAGTATATATATATACCTTCAGGCAGCTGCTGCTTTGCAAGCAAGATGGTCTTGACCACTTCTACTTCCATTTTCGCCATCACAGCTAAGAGCGCTTATTTCTCTTTTACTTCAACCAATTCAATTAAGTTCGATCGGTAATTAATTCCTTAATTACACCATCATTTCATATATATATATATATATATATATATATATATATACATTGAAGATGAGGAGGGAGGAAAATCGAATGCAATGACGCAATAGATAGAAAAGCATATATATATATATATATATATATATATATATATATATATAACGTCCGGATTATTAAGGTGTTTTATTAACTGTATTTTTCCTCCTGATAATAATGTCGTAGGAGCACGGCAGTTTACTTCAAATACACCACATGTATTTTTCTACTTCTTTTGAACACTAATAACTCTATTGTAATGCAGGGCGTAGAGTTATTACTCAAGAGCTATTATTATTGTTGTTGTTGTTATTATTATTATGATTATTATTATTATTATTATTAATTTATTATTATTATTATTACACCCTCCGTCCACAAATTATCTTCCCATTTTCTTTTTAGTAAGTTTTACTCCCTCCGTCCCTAAATAAAGTTCCATTTTTGACTTTTTGAAGATTTAAGGGAAGGATATTTTTGTGTTAACTTTCCAAAAATACCCTTGATGTGATGTGTAAAAGTAAGATGTGATAGGTAGATTATTAGTAAAAAGGTATGATGTGATAGGTAAAGTATGAAAAAGTAAGGAGTAAAAGGGGTTTTTTAAGGAAAAAGAGAAGTTTATTTGGGGACAAAGAAAAAACGAAAGTAGAAGTTTATTTAGGAACGGAGGGAGTATAAGTTAAAAAGACTCAAATACCCTTTCCCACCCACTTCATTTTTCCTTGTTTCTTCTTTTTTCTTCCTTCCCTGCTAGTTTCGCCCCACTTTCGTTTTCTTCTTCTTTTCTTTTTCCTCTTTTTCTTTCTTTTCAGTCCCTTTCGATTTATTCCTGCCACCCTCTCTTTTTTCCTTTTTCTTCTTTCTCCTTCCTCCCCCTTCTGTTTTTGTCCAGCCACTCACTCCATCTTCATCTTCTTCTTCCTCCCCTGCAGCATCATTTATAGAGACAAATCTGATGATTGAGTTGTAACCTTGCTCGATTTGGACGTATTAGGAAGTATAATTAAATTAGGATACTTCTTTCCTTTCCTACTAGGATTATTCTTTCCTTTCCTACTTGTACTTTGATTACTCTTGTATTCCCTATATATAGGGCCATATCTATCAATATTCAATAAGACAAGTTATTATCAAATTGTATCATGGTATCAGAGCTAAGGCTCTCAAAAACCTAGCCTCTCTTTTTTTCCGACCGCCGCCCACCATGGCAGCCCCGTCGGATCCTTTGGCGTCCTTACCCTCCGGAGTAAAACTTTTGCTTCGGAGTCTCCACAACTTAATCCCAGAAAAACTCACCGAAACAAATTATCCGGCATGGTCTATCAATGTCCAGACAGCTCTTTCAGCTAATCTTCTCCTTGGATGGATTGATGGTCATGAAGCAGCCCCGGCGCCAACTATCTCCAAAAACGATAAAACCGTCCCTAATCCAGAGTATACCTCTTGAACCATCGTTGACACACAGATCCGCGCCTGCCTCCTAGCGGTCATCAGCCCCTCCGTTCACAAACATGCTCGCGGCTTCACCACATCTGCTGCCCTCTGGGATGCTTTGGCCGCACGGTACAACTCCGTGTCCACCGCTCATGTTTATCAGCTTCGGGACAAACTCCACATCATGTTTCCTCCTCAGAGCAGCTAGCAGACATTCTTACTAAACCGCTTCCGCCAGTTCCTTTTGAGTACTTATGTTCCAAGCTGCCCCTCGTCTCCGTTAAATTAGGATACTTCTTTCCTTTCCTACTAGGATTATTCTTTCCTTTCCTACTTGTACTTTGATTACTCTTGTATTCCCTATATATAGGGCCATATCTATCAATATTCAATAAGACAAGTTATTATCAAATTGTATCAGGACGGATCTCATAATAAGGTTGTATCCTATCTCTGCAAATTTGAGGACTCCAATCTAGATCTAAGACGAAGATCGAGATGGTGACCACTACTTGCTGTGGTGGCAAAGGAGCAACAATTGATGGTGGTGAGTTGAATCAGAAGGAAGGTGAAGCTTCACACTTGGATGGAGAAGCTGGAGATCGAGGACGAGAAGGTTGTGTGATGACAGACCAGTGGAGAAGATTAGCTTGAGGGTAGTTTTGGAAAGTCAATGTTATTTTCATTCTATATAAATTTGCACACCGAGTCAAAGCGAGAAGATTAATTGTGGACGGAGGAAGTATTATTACTACTACTACTTGATGATAATAAACCAACGAGTATGTCGATCGTGGGGTGGGTGAGAAGCTAGGGAAATAAAGATAGAGAGAGTGTGTAAAGTAGGAGTATTATTATATTATATTCGGATCCCCTACATGTAACGCCCCAAAACATGTCTAAAAGTAATTTTGTGATAAAAGAATTTCAAAACAATATTTTGACCCAACAAAATAATATTTCTATGTTTGACCAAAAATGAAGGAATCTTTGGAGTTAATGATTTTTTGTTAAAATTGAGTTTTATGCATAGGTCTCGAAAAGGCGAATCCAACGGTATATTTTATCAATAAATCTGATGTACAGATTTTGAGTTGTGACATTTCAAATATGTAATTTCTATAAAAATGAAACGTGGTTAAAGATGTGAACTTTTGTAAAATGAATAATATTGATTGAATATGAGAGTACTTTAATTTTATGTCAATTAATTCAATTTTGACTATGTCAAAGTCAACACCCAAAAATGTGGTGTCAGAAAAAGTATTTCAGAAAAATATGAAAATTGTATCGTTACGTAGAGCTTGACTGTCTGATTGAAACGGTACAATTATATTAGATTTTAATTTAGAGAAAGTTAGAAAAAAAATGTACACCAACTGAGATACAAATAAGTCATAATCACTGAGAGGCAGGTAAAACCTCCCAGGATCGCATACAAATCCCAACAACTCCACTTTCGTCGAACTAAAGATTTGGAGCAGTGACATTTTTGGTTTCATTTCCTTCTTCTTGCCTATATAAGAAACACTTGTTTATCTTTATCCCTACACCAAACTTCTTCCTTCTTCATCTACTCTACTCCTTATTGTATGGAGAACAATCCGCAAGTGATCGCCGCCGTTAAAGTCACTGGAGCTATTCTTACACATATTGTGATAATAAAAATTACATGTGATTATTGTGAATATTGTGATAATAAAAATGACATGTGATTATTGTGAACTGTGGACTGATTCCTATATAAGTTTAATTTGAATGATGTTGTTAGTTATCACTGTTAAAATAACAAAGACAGATTTAAATATGAAAAGCGAATATTTGAACATATATATGTGATTGGTATTATTTAAAAATTATTCTGTGAATTCTTTTGTTGTGCCATGGTACCACTCAGATCAGCTTCATTGATGAGTGTGTAGACTTTTTCATCTTTCTACACGTAAGTATGAGAGAAATAAATGTGGAGCCTATTCTGGAGAATACTGAGATGGAGGTGATGCGTGGACATAAACAAATATACTATTTAATTAAGTAAATGATTTTATCACATGGGTTGACAATACAGTTGTAGTTTACAAATTGCTTCCGCACTGTTTTAAATAATTTTTATTTCAATGTAATTATGAAATATTTTATACAATTGTTTGAAATAAAGTTTTTAAATGTTTGAAATTTTTATGTTACAAAGTTAATACTTTAGTCCGAAAAGGCCGCAGACCTAAACGGATAAGGGTGTTACACTACAAGGCTAATGCTTAAGGCTATTTACAGCCCATACACTGTACAACGGTAATAACCATGACTTGACACTCGCTTGTCGCCTAGTTGTTGTCTTGGTCTCAAAGAATCATTGGGAGTCTCGTGACACTTCCTTGTCGTCCTGCTCTCGTCGTTGGCCGTTGGAGCCTTATGGTCTCGCATCTGTCTCTAGACTAATCATATGCTGTATATGAAGTAAATTGCCGTGACAAAAAAAGTCAAAACAGGAAAAAAAAATTGGACTGAAGGGAGTACAATATTATTATTATTATTATTATTATTATTATTATTATTATTATTATTATTATTATTATTATTATTATTATTATTATTATTATTATTATTATTATTAGGAAGTATAATTAAATTAGGATACTTCTTTCCTTTCCTACTAGGATTATTCTTTCCTTTCCTACTTGTACTTTGATTACTCTTGTATTCCCTATATATAGGGCCATATCTCTCAATATTCAATAAAACAAGTTATTATCAAATTGTATCATGGTATCGGAGCTAAGGCTCTCAAAAACCTAGCCTCTCTTTTTATCCGACCGCCGCCCACCATGGCAGCCCCGTCGGATCCTTTGGCGCCCTTACCCTCCGGAGTAAAACTTTTGCTTCGGAGTCTCCACAACTTAATCCCAGAAAAACTCACCGAAACAAATTATCCGGCATGGTCTCTCAATGTCCAGACAGCTCTTTCAGCTAATCTCCTCCTTGGATGGATTGATGGTCATGAAGCAGCCCCAGTGCCAACTATCTCCAAAAACGATAAAATTGTCCCTAATCCAGAGTATACCTCCTGGACCATCGTTGACACACAGATCCGCGCCTGCCTCCTAGCGGTCATCAGCCCCTCCGTTCACAAACATGCTCGCGGCTTCACCACATCTGCTGCCCTCTGGGATGCTTTGGCCGCACGGTACAACTCCGTGTCCACCGCTCATGTTTATCAACTTCGGGACAAACTCCACACTCTTCGTAAAGGTACCAAAACTATGACACAATACCTTGATGATGTGGCAACTATTCTCTCGGATCTCGATGCCTTGAAAGAAGAGATCCCTGAACGTGATGTGGTGAATGCTGTTATTCGTGGTCTTCCCACCGAATACTCATCCTTTAAGCAAAACATTCGCATGAACAATACCAATNATGAAGCAGCCCCGGCGCCAACTATCTCCAAAAACGATAAAACCGTCCCTAATCCAGAGTATACCTCCTGGACCATCGTTGACACACAGATCCGCGCCTGCCTCCTAGCGGTCATCAGCCCCTCCGTTCACAAACATGCTCGCGGCTTCACCACATCTGCTGCCCTCTGGGATGCTTTGGCCGCACGGTACAACTCCGTGTCCACCGCTCATGTTTATCAACTTCGGGACAAACTCCACACTCTTCGTAAAGGTACCAAAACTATGACACAATACCTTGATGATGTGGCAACTATTCTCTCGGATCTCGATGCCTTGAAAGAAGAGATCCCTGAACGTGATGTGGTGAATGCTGTTATTCGTGGTCTTCCCACCGAGTACTCATCCTTTAAGCAAAACATTCGCATGAACAATACCAATATTTCGTTAAATCAGCTTTCTGGATGGCTGATCTCCGAAGAAATAAACCTGGAGATGGAGAATAAACTCAGCCTCACCGAGTCTACCATCACCGAACCTCGCACAACACTTCTCGCTATGAACGGTCGAGGTCGCGGTAGAGGAGGCTACCGCGGTCGATCGTCACCTGGACGTGGATACAACAGCGGACGTGGAGAAAGGAACAACGGTCGACCGTCCCAGGGAAACGGTCGACCGTCACGGGATCTGCCAACCTGCCAAATCTGCGAGAAACGAGGTCACTCTACGTCTGCGTGCTGGTATCGATTTGATGATTCTTATACTGCGAACTCCTCCTCTAGTGCTCCCCGTGCAATGCATGCATCTATGAGTAATCATTCTGGAAACTGGTATCTGGACACTGGTGCCAACACCCATGTCACGTCTGATTATTCTCAGCTATAATCTCCTCATCAATACACCGGTACTGATGCTATTACCGTAGGCAATAGTCAATCCCTACCCATCACACACTCTGGCTCAGGTTTTGTCCATACTCCTAATGGTAAATACCACCTTTCTACTCTTCATTATGTCCCTTCTCTTACCTCCAATCTATTGTCTGTCCATCGATTTACCAAAGAAAACAACTGCACTCTTGTTTTCAATGCCAATGATTTCCAGATAGTGGACAATCCTACCAACCAGGTGCGGTACAAGGGCCTCTGTGAGCATGGGTTATACACACTTCCTTCCAAACTCCCAACCGTTGCGTATCAAGCTATCCAAGAGTCCACTTGGCATCATAGACTCGGTCATCCAGCTCCTGCGATTGCCAAATCTATTTTGTCTTCCTTAGGTTTTCAGTTTTCAGAGCCTTTACATTGTGAATCATGTTATGTCTCTAAGTCCTGTCGTTTACCTTTTGAATTGTCTGAACATAAGGCCACAGCGTCCTTTCAATTAATACATTCTGATGTTTGGGGTCCCATCTCTGTTCCTTCCTGTAGCGGTTTTCGATTTTATATCTCTTTTGTTGATGATTTCAGCAAATTTACCTGGATTTATCCCCTAAAACATAAATCTGAAGCTTACTCTGTTTTTGTGAATTTTGAAAAAATGATTAAAACGCAGTTTAATTCTCATATCAAAATTTTTCGAAGTGATAATGGCAAAGAATTTGTAAATAACGCTTTTGGCCTTTTCCTTCAAACTTTAGGAGTCCTTCATCACACCTCTTGTCCCTACACGACTCTGCTCTCCCGACTACCTTTTGGGTCGAAGCTCTTGCCACAACAAACTATCTTATCAACCGTATGCCCACCAAAACTCTCTCCAACAAATCTCCCTTTGAAACTCTTTATAACCGTCCTCCTACATATACCCACCTTCGTGCCTTTGGTTGCTTGGTCTATCCATGGCTCCGCCCTTACACTCACCACAAACTTCAACCACGCTCCACTCCTTGTGTCTTCTTAGGATATCACCCCACCACTAAAGGGTATAAATGATATGAACCCGTGTCTCAAAAAGTTTATGTCTCTCGTCATGTTCGGTTCATCGAGGATCAGTTTCCATATCCCAAATTGTCATCCCTCCCGTCACCCTCTCCTATAACCCCTATTTTTCCTCCAAGCCCAGGCTCACATGCTCCTGTCCCACTGACGGTCGAACCCCAGACCCGTCCCACCAGTCACGGACGACAGCCCGACACCCTCCCTATGGACACGCCACAGAC